TGGGGTCACGGTCTCTGTGCGCTGTTCATCCTCCCCCGCGGGGTCTGCAGAACACCCTAATATCTGCAATTACAGAAGACCCTAGTTTCGGTTGTCGGGTGACCATGGGTTTTCTAGATTTAATAAATTTGGGAAAGGAAGCATGCCACAGCCACCTTATGAAGACCTGTGACCCGTGACGATGTGCTAAAGACCCTAAGAAGTCACACACTACATGAACTGGCTTCAGTGTGTTGAATCATGTGCTTTAGGAGCCCATCAGACCCCAGGTTTCTGTCCCCTCCCAACCCAATACGACCAACAGTGGAACGAGTCGTCCACAGAGCACCTTTCACATTGCTCCCGAACCTTCTCAATTAAAGGTGCCTGTTCCAAATTGCTGGACATCTAGATGAAGGTCCAGATGGGTGGGACAAGACCCATCGCAGAGCCGGTGTCAAACACAGGCGAAGGATGCGTCACACACCAAACTGAGCTCTAGGGGAGACCACACAGATTTGGGGGTTGCAGTCAAGTGGCTCTGGTAGAGCACCTCTGAGGACCAGACCGCTGTGGGACAAGCAAAATGGCGTCAGGCATGTCAAGTTTCCAGACTTGAAAGAGGAGCTATGCGTCGGTCTTTGGAGTGTAAAGAGCCAAGGCCACTGGGATTTCTGTGAACAGATGCCATCCTGCTGGGGCTCCAGAGGCTAGGACTGAGCCGGCACAGCGGGATGGATGTCGGCCAGGAGGGTAACACTGGAGAGCACGGGCCAGAGCCAGACGCAGCAAACAGGCAGCAGGGAGACTGTGTGTATGGGATGGTACCGGTGGGGTCTCTGAAGTGTACGGCTAGCAGCAGGCCGGAAGCAGAGAGGAGTAGAAAGAGGGAGGACGAGAGCCATCAGGGGGAGACGTGAACGAGGAAGGACGGTCCACCACTGACATCATTTCTCTTCTCACCTCCGGGCTTGTCCTCTCAACGATCCCTGCTGAGCTTGTGCAGACTCTGCCAGGGACACGGCCAATGGAGGCATCGGACAAATGCGGAGGGACTATGGGTCCCCCCTGACCAACGGGCAAGAGAGTGCAGACCTCTTGGCCAACTCTTTAGGAGGCAGCAGGGCTCCACTCCCCCTGCTTGCGTTCCCTCTCTCGCTGTCTCTCTGTCAAATAAATAAAAATTAAAAAAAAAAAAAACAAAACAAAAAGGCAGTAGGGCTCACATAAAAAAATACTTGATGGGACCAGGGATGACACTGCCATTGTCCAAAAAATAAAAGGGATCTGCAAGGTGATTTTCGTGTACTATTTGGGACAAAGGATCCATGAAACAGATGTCGCTATTTTATAAAACAAAACAAAAAGCCAGTACTAACAAGGCATGAAAAATACATAGTAACCTGTACCCTCAAATTCCCAAGTCGGAGCTTACACAGGGTGTAAGGGCACACGGGGTGACCGAATCAATACTTTGTGGTTCCGAGTGTTGGCAGAGTCAGGACAGCTCATATCTCACACCAACACCCGAGGGCTACAGAAGGAAAATTTTGAAAAATTTTAAAAAAATTATATCACTGCCAAATTCTTTATTCAGAATGACAAAATCTTTCTGTGATTCGGTGCTTCTCAACCCTACAGGCACATGAGAATCATCAGCCAGGACACTTTTAAAGAGCACCAGTGCCTGAATCCCAGCCCAGGCCAATTAGGGCAGCCTCGAAGAATGGGGTCAGGGCCACCGGAGAGCAGCCTTCTTTTTTTTTAAAAAGCTTATTCTATCTTTTGTTGCGTAATGAGCCATCCTCAAAACGAAGCAGCTTATTTTTTTATCTGGGCCACAAATCCACACTCTTGGCAGAGTTTGGCAGGCACAGTCATGTACCGTATACGGCATTAGCTGAGAAGGTCTGGCCCGGCCAGGAAGACTCCAAGACCATCCCCTCCCAAAGCTGGTAAGTGGGCGCTGGCTGTCAGCTCGGCGTCCAGCTGGGGGTGAAGGCCGGGGGCTTTAACTGCTCTCCGAGGGGCCGCCCAGGCTCCCACACGGCAAGGTAGCAGGGTTCTAAGAGTGAGTATTCAAGAGACCCAGGCATAATCGACAAGGCTCTTTCTGACCCAGCTTCCGAAGTCCTAGCACATCACTTCCACCACATTCTGGTAGATAAGTCAGTCGCTGAGGCCGGCTCATAGTCAGAGGGAGTGCACTTAGATTTCGACCCTCAATGGAGGGAGGTCCAAGCACCTGCTGCCATTTCTACCACAAAGCTCCTGCATGTGGAGGGATGTATTAGGTCCCCGTGGCTACTGTAACAAGTACCACAAAGTCAGTAAATGACGGAAATCTAGTCCCTTGCCATTTTGGAGGCCAGAAGGCCCAAATCAGTGGCAATGGGCTAAAATCACGATGGCAGGAGGGCTGTGCTCCCTCCAGAGGCTCCATGAGAGAAGCCGTTTCTTGCCTCTTCCGGCCTCTGGTGGCTTCCATTCCTTGGCATGCGGCCACATCCTTAAATCTCTCTCCACTCCATCTTCGCATTTTTCCTTCTCTGCGTGCCTATGTCAAATCTCCTTCTGCATTTTATGATACATGGGATTGCATTTAGGGGCCACCCTGGTAATCCAGAGTGGTCCCTCACAGTCCTCATTTTAATCATATCCGCAAAGACCCTTTTCCCAAATAAGGTAATATTTACAGGTTCCAGGGTTCAGGACCTGCTGCTAGCTTTTGGGGGGGACCATTATTCTGCCAACCCCAATAATGAGAAAGGTGGATGTGAGCTCCAAAATCTGCCTCCAGGTCTTGCTAAAGAAACTCAGTTTCCCAAGTCATCCTGAATCAAAGGCAGCAGGACCAAAGCCTGGAGCTGGGATGGGAGTGAACCACTTTGTATGATGTCTAGGTCATAACAGCCATCAGCCAGGAAAATTATATACAACTGTTTGTTGTTGTTGTTGTTGTTTTTTTAACTTGACCAAAATGCTTTCGTAAAGTGAGCTTTAATTTGTCAGTGTTTCAAGAGGGTAGTTTGAAGACTTTAAAATGTGTCCGCAGATTTTCGGAGCTCAGAAATGGGATAAACGTGGGGAATCCCCCTGGTATTGCTAAAATAGCACAGGGGCCTTCAACTGATGCAAATGACTTTCTTCTCTCCCCAAAACACTTACAACTTTAGGTTTCTGTTTCTGGGAAAGCTGGTTAGAAACTGATCATCTGCAAGCTCACTGTACCTTAAAGCACCTGGGCCAGTACCTTAGACGACGGAGCAAGGGTGACCCTAAACCAGTAAGCCCTCCACTTAATTTCATGTTTAATACAAATTTTAAAATACACAAACCACATCCATTTAGCGTGCCAGAGTAATTTACGCAGTGCATCCCCTCCCTATACCCTTAAAAGTTGATGGTGGCAGTTCTGGCTTTAAATCAGAACCGTGTGTGGAACGGGCAAATCATTTACCAAGTTCTTGAATGACCGAATGTCATCAGAGAGGAGGCAGTTGCTTAACATATCATCATTCAAGGGGCACCTAGGTGGCTCAGTAGGTTAAGCATCTGACTCTTGATTTCAGCTCAGGTCATGATCTCAGCGTCCTGGGATCGAGCCCCGAGTCCTTGGACTCTGGGCTCAGCGGGAAGTCTGCTTCGGGATTCTCTCTCCCTCTGCTCCCGTCCCCACTCTCTCTAATAAATAAATCTTAAAAAAAAAAAAAAAGATTTAAGATATTTCCCCTTACTCTCTCCAACTTCTAGGAATTTCTAGTTTTTCTTTCCCCATTCACTGGACAATCAGTAACCAACAGCACAAAGCAAACAACTCCCCAGCTGCCTCACACAGCAAGGGTCTCCGCAGGGTAAGGAGACAAGCAGGGATCCGTCATCCCAGGACACAGGTCCAGGTCTCCAGGGCCAGCTCCCACTCAGAAACCAAGAGGGGTGAACAGTAAGATGCACCCCTACTGTTCTTGGTTTTCAACCTTTCCTCTGAGGCCCTTCCTTGGGAGGAACCAGATCTTTCTGGCTGCCTCGAGATCTGTCAGGGAGGTGGAAGGTTGTTGTCCGAATCTCTGATAATATATTCCTATTCAGTGCTTTATGCTCCTGGTCCGTTTTGAAAGAGCAGCCGCTGAATTTTGTGCTACAGCCGCAATTTTTAATTCTTAACCAAAGTTTACTCGACTGGGTTGCTGGAGCAAACAATGCAATCCCCGTTCCTTCTGTAAGACACACTCCGCTGATGCCTTGAACTTGCGGGGTGCTCTCAATGCACATACTCTGGTCCTCGTGGCTGACGCTCCCCATGGATCAGCTGTGCTTGTTACCAAACCTGTTTATGCCCACGTTATTGGTTTTGGGAACCACAGTACACAGTTCCATGTTATGTGACCTGATCTGAATAGGAGTGTCGAGAGGGCCGTTGCCATGCAAATGAAGTTGAACGCATTTATGAGTCTCGTGGGGACTGCATCACAGGAGGTGTAGGTATCAATCATCAACGATGGGAAGGCGTCTTAAACACTTACAAGGACTTTACATTCAGGTTGCTTCAAGTGTAGGTTTGCTCTCTGTTTCAAAGAGACTGAACCTGGAAACGTTCAACCACGCATTCCAGGAGATGCTTACGCAGGAGCGTTGCTGAAGAATGGGAAGGAGCAGAGCCACTGTCAGTGAAAAACCATTTGGGATTTGAGAACTGACCTATGTTTATACATTTTGAGTGAAAATAAAGTGTTCACGTATTTCTTTTCATTGCCCTTGTTGGCCAACTTTTTTTTTTTTTCCTTCTGGTGAGAAGTAATCAATACTGCACTTACCTCTGTCCCTAGAGCAAGGGAAGCAAGCCAAGGGGCTCAGTCACAACAGCACAGGAGAAACACAGAGAAGGAGGAAACAGCTTAATTGCCGCACATCGCCTAAACCGCTGCTAGAGTGCAACCTTCCCAGCAATCTGGTTTGGTGTTAACTCCCCACCCCTCCCCCCTCCGCCCCTCCAACGCTGAGAAAGGGACACTGGTTCATACCCATCCTTTTTGTAAAACTCCAGCATCATATTATCCGTGGCAACGCTGAGGGGCCGGCGGGCCTGCTCGGGCTGGCGCCGGTCAGCAGGGTCCATGTCTGGGGAGGGCATTGAGCTGTAGTTGGCGTTGTGGTTCACGTGTACGGGACTCCCATAATTCCCTGTGATGTTGAACTCTATCTCTGCAGGGATGAGAGAATGGGTGTACGCGATCTATTGGTCACGCTGTTCCTGACATGGCCTGTCCTCTACACTTTACCCCTAGAAAACTGTGTCCCGTGGTTCAATGTTAGGTCCTCTGTTGATACGAATTCATCCTAATATAATTCATCCTATTAGCAGGTGAACACAAGTGCTCAGCTATCACACTAATATGATGAACATTAAATAAAGCAGTTTCTATTTATGGTTAAAAGCCAACTTAGTGAAACAGGAACAGATGGGTACTTTCTGCAAAAGACAAAATCATCTATCTCAAACCTCATGGTTACAAGTGAAACAACACAGCAGTCAAATCAGGAAAAAGGGCAATGCCCACTCCCACCGCTGTTATTTAACACTATTGGAAAAGTGCTGGCCAATGGAATAAGTCAAGAAAATAAAATAGGAGGCAGTATTATTATTTATAGGTGACGACGTTGTCTTTCTGGAAAACCAAAGATAAAACATTAAAAAGGATTGGAAACCAGAGATTTCACTAAGGTCGCTATGGTTGTTGGCTGGTTAGTGCGGGCAGTGGACACCTGTGGCCAGAATGTCGCTCAGTTGGGGATTAGATAGTAAGATACCGCCATGACTCACGCACGTGTGTAGGAGGATTAATGACAAACACCTCTGATTTCAGAAGTTGTGAACTCACAGTGACACTCTGATTCCTCCCCCGGCCCCCCACTCCTGTATCTCGATGCCACCACGTACCCCCAGGGAAGAACCAGTCTGCATGCTGGATGATGGGCTCGATGATCCCAACAATCTGCAGTGAAACTGTGGTCATCATTTCCGTGATGTTCCTGCGAGTACAGAGCAGAGAGGGGGCAGGGCCAGGTTACTAGCTGAGGCAGTGGCAAGGCACACCTGGCCCCACAGCCTGGGAAGGGCCCCTGGACCGGAAGCCTGCTGACCTAGGTCTGAGAGTAGGCTTTCTCTTTGGAAGGACACTTCACCTTTCCATAGATGTCCTCCTTACAAGAGACATGTGAATGAGTAATATATACGAAATCACCAAGTACCAGGCACCTTTCACTGTGAGGTGTGATTCTCACAAACGCCAGATTCATCTGCTTTCCAACTCTGTTCTCTCTTTTGAGACAGCCCTCTATCCCCTGCATCCAGATGCTGGGATGTGTGCTCTTCACACGCATGAGGGGCGTGAGGAAGGCTTAGAAGAGCTTGCCTGGCCCACTGCGGACTCAGATTAGCTCAGAGAAGACCTGAGCTCACTGCAGGCCTGTAGCCCTGAGACCATCAGCGAGAAAGATCTGCACAATTCTGGGTCTTCTCCTGAGCCTAAAACATGAGCAGGCCAAGAAAGAAATAGGACTTGACAAATAAGAGAGGCTGATGATTTATCTGGGGCCCTGGCTGTCCCGCCCACACGCCACCCCCCTGCATGTTCCTCCTTGTGCACTCACCCTTCCGCCTGTGGCCACAGGAGGTTGGGTCCTAACACAATTGCCATGTTACTGGGAGTCATCTTGTTTACATCTTGATATTCTGATAGCTTGGATAAAAATTTGATCAAGTATCTGAAAGGAAGACAGAAGGGCCAGGTTCAACTCGGGCTCAACCTAAGCCACATTCCCCCAGCAGAGGGCAGAAATCTCTCCCGTGTAGCCCATCTTGCTGACAATGAGACTCCTACATCCTGCATTATAATGAAGATGTGTAACATGTCCAGCCATGAGAATGCTTGAGAAACAGACTCCGATCTCACTTGGCTACATGCCAACATCTGCTGCCGTGAACCCTGGCCAAAGAAATTCCCCGTCTTTCCTTTTGACTCAGGATCTGGTGACCTGAAGTCCCTCCTCCTTTTCAAACCTCAGTCACCTGCCACTCTCCCTGTGTGCAGAGGTGAGAAGCAAAGTGTCCAGGTGTCATCAACGGGGACCTCTACATGCCAGGGCTGGTGCGCCCCGGGATTCACCTCAGTGGGGCTTTGAGAGCTAATGGAAAAAAAAGCTACACATAGATTTAGCACCGGAGCCAACAATTCACTCCCAGAGACCTACCCAAGAGAAATAGGCCCACATGCAAACTTGTACACAAATGTGCATCCCAGCAGTGTTATGCAAGCCAGCCAGAAAGTGGAGACCATCCAAAATGTCCACCGAGGGAGGAACAGATAAATAAAACGTGGTCTATCCAATACAACGGGATACTATTCACCCATGAAAAGGAACGAAATACTGACATGCGCTACCACACGGATGAACCTCGAGGACATTATCCTGAGTGAAATAAGCCAGACATAAAAGCCCACGTGTTGTAGGACCCCACCCAGGTGAAATGTCCAGCAGAAGCAAATCTGCAGAGACAGAGAAGGTAGATTCGTGTTTGCAAGGGGCCAGGCTTGGGCGGGGGAATGAAGAGTGACAGCTAATGGGAACAGGGTTCCTTTGCGGGGTGATGAAAATGGTCTAAAGTGAGCGGTGGTAGTTGTGTGACTCGACACACATACTAACAACCATTAAATCACACCCTTTAAGAGGACACAACGGTATGTGAATTATATCTCAAGGAACTAATGAGGAAGCCGTACGTTAAATCGCTCTTGGGACTTTTTTTTTTTTTTTTTTTTTTTTTTTTACCTTGTGCCAAAGTCTACATAAGAATTACTACTTTCATCACTCTTTAAGTGTATGGTAGCATTAAGTACATTCGCACTGTGAAGAACCATCACCACCATCCATCTCCAGATCGTTTTTTAGCTTCCAGAACAGAATCTCTATACCCATTAAACGCTCCCCTCCCCCCTGGCAGCCCCGCCCCCCTCCTTTCTGTCTCCATGAATGTGCCAGCTCCGGGTACCTCACATACGTGGGATCATACAGTATCTGTCCTGTGTCTGGCTTCTTTTGTTTGGCACCATGTCCTCAAGATTCACCCGCCGAACATCACATTGCATGTCTAATTTGTTTATACACCCAGCAATGGCCGTTTGGGCTGTTTTCACCTCTTGACTATTACGGATGATGCTGTCATGCACATGAGTGTACCAGTACCAAGTCCCTGTTTTCACATCTTCTGGGTCTATATATACCCAGAAGTGGCATGGCCAGATCAGATGGTAATTCTATGTTTAATTTCTTAAGGGTGAGCCATACCTTCGGCTGCTAGAATTTTGAACAGGAAAGCAGAAATACTCGGGCAGATGGCAACAGGAGCTGAAGCTGGGAGTCTGCATCTAGGGAAGCACGGAGGGGGGGTGGCAGGGCCAGGAGCGGTGCTGGCAAGCCAAAGGGAGGAGGAAGCAGAGAGTGTGAGAAGCAGAAAAGATCTGTAGAGGAGCGGGAAGTAAAATCCCGGGGCAGGGAGAGGGGGGAAGCAAGGGAAGTGAGAGAGGGAGACGTGCGGAAAAGAGGCGGTGAAGGGTACAGCACCAGAGGATACTCATCTGGCTCCTCCTCCCTGCAGACGAGCTCAAGGACACCTCCGCCAAGCAGCTCCAGGTTGGCTCAACCTCTCCCAGCTGTGCCTGAACGCTTATCTTTACAATAAATGCACAATATTGGGGCGCCCGGGAGGCTTCGTCGGTTGAGTGGCTGCCTGCTGGGGTCCTGGGATGGAGCCAGGCGTCGGGCTCCCTGCTCAGCAGGGAGTCTGCTTCTCCCTCTCCCTCTGAGCCTTCCCCCACCCCTCCACCACTCATGCTCTCGCTCTCAAATGGATAAATAAAAAATCGTAAAGAATCTTAAAAATAGCTTGCATTCATCTTTGCTTCTTGCACATCAGAGAACTCAACTGAATTAGCCAATGGCCTTCCAAAGTCATATAGCGCCTTCCGTTCTGCTCCTTCCTTGGCAACATGGTCATTAACAACCTCGCAGGGTTGTCTGAGGTGGAAAGGAGACCATGCGCATTAACCAAGCTCGGCACCCCATAAAATGCCACGCAGGCTAGTCACCATGACCTTTAGCCGGGAAACCGTGTGTGCGTGGCTTAAATCACCCTGACCCCGCGTCTCCAGGATCCGTCCACCTACCGGATGTTGTTGTGATTGGCCTTGGGCAATTTTTCACAAGCATTCCACAGAGCCTGAAGCCTCTTGTCTTGCTCCTGAATACTGGGGAATAAACAGGAAAGCCACTGGCTGAGCATGGATCAATCAGAGCTCACTGGCAATCATATCAACCAGTTGGACAATGAGACCCCAACGGCTGCGACCGACCCTCCCAGTGAGCTAGTATCAGCTGAGTGCTGAGTGCGGACTATTTCCCTCTCTGCGGCCCCTGTCTTGTCCTGCAGCCCTCCCCAGCACGTGTCACGGGTCTCGGGTGAATGCAGGCCGGGGGAGCAGGCGGGGGCAGGAGGGAGGGGGCAGGAGGGAAGAAGCCAGACACCTGCTCTAGAGCGAGGCAGGGCCATGGGGTTGTCAGGAGGGAGCCTGGCACAGGAACTAGGATACAATATACCCGTCAAGAGAGCTCGACCCACTTTCACACCGTGGGGCAGCCTACTGTCCAGTTCAATAGATGGTACTTAACGTTCCGTGGCATCTGACGCATCATAGGTGCTCCATAAATACCTTCTGAACTGGTACGTTCTATGAGCTCAAAATACACATACGGAAATCTGACCTTCACGAGCTAACTCAGAGACGGATCATTTCCATGAACCGAAGACTCTCCACTCTACGAAAGGTCTGCTCCAAGGGTTTTTTTTTTTTTTTAATTTTTTAATAAGGCCTCTAAGAATTGAAAGAGATTACTTATAGGACTACATTTTATATATGCTTCTCATGAAAATCTACAAGGCACACATGGTTAGGAAGGCCTTTCTGCTCAAAGAATCTTTTCTCCAGAAAAACTAAAAGGAAAATGTCAGCAGGGTGAGGGCTCAGCTTTGACCCCTTAACCTGGGGCCCTGAGGGCGGTGACCATCACCCACGGACTTCACTGCTGTGTACCGACAGGTCCTCCCACAGATCCTGACCAAGGGGAGAAAACCTCTCTTTTCCCTCAGTTCAGCCTTGAGGAAGAGGTAAGCATTCTCCAAAACACATTTTTCCTAGGACTCTGAAGTGCAAACCAAACGTGCCATTTACAAAGGTGAACAGATCCTATTCGCGAAGTGGCTGCAATTTGACCAAAGGCTGGACAAGGAGGGTTTGGTGCAGGGAGGCCATTAAAGACCTAGCTCTATCCTGCCCGTGATCTTGGGCCAACTACTGCATCTCTGTGCAACCTCACCTCCCTCCTCTGTAAAACGGGTTCATGGGACGACTTCCCGCCTGGAGTTGGCATGAGCGGTACAGAGGGGCCTCTGTACAAAGTGCTCAGCAGAGGGTCTGGTTGATCTCAAGCTTCCAATCAGGGTCTTGAGGGGAAAGGGCAGACGCTGCCAAGACCCGGCTAGATCCCAACGCCCCGGCTGTCCTCCCTTCTCCAGCTCCTCTATCATCAAGATCACATATACGGTCTGGAAGTAAAAGGGACCATTTCCATCAGAGGATACGGTCTCATTTCTCTTCATCCCTAGGACCACTGAGTGGCTCTAGAGAGGCGTTAAGTGCTGTAGTTAGGCACATGGGTTCCAGACTGGATCCCCTGGACTCAAATCCTCATTCTGCCATTTATTCACACACCTGCTCTGGGACTTACCTTCCTCACCTGTAAGCTGGGGAAAACAGCACAACCCACTTTCGAAGGGTTCGTTCCTGTGACAACTAAATGAGTTAAACGCGTATAAGGAGCTTAGAACAGTGACAAGCCTGTAAAAAGCCCTCGGCAGAGGTATCGCTCATGATCAATACCCTCATGGAGCTCACACGCACGCTCCACAAGAGATGTAAGCACGCCAGGTAATTAGCCTGGCTTTTCTGACGCATAGTCTCTACTCTACCTTGGGGAAAAAAAAGCCAGTGCCACGCAACATGACTGCAGCTAGTGGGTTCTCGAACACCACACACACAGAGCCTCGCTTCCCTTGGAGGTCAGCTGGGCTCGTGCAGGGCCCAAAGAAGCACATACATACTCGAGCATTCCTTCCGACAACCTAAGCTTGGCTGTGCTTTGAGACTAAAACCTACGACCAGAGCGCTCTAGAAATCATGTCCCTTCTCAGGCACCTGGCTGAGGGCAGCCTGCAGACCAGATGTCAAGTTTTTAGATTAGCTACTAATGAGCCATTATTAATTGAATTGTAACGACTACAAGTAAGAGTCAAGACCCTGTGGCCCCTCCCTTGTTCTATTCTTCTCTCCAGAAGGAATCACGACGATCCGCTTCTGTGAGCCCTTCCAGGACCTTCTATGGATTTATGCATCTATAGAGGCATTCCTAAAATTGTATGGTTTTGAGTGGTGTTTTTTTAAAAAAAAAAAAACAAAAACAAAACAGAATATCATATGTGTCCTTATTAACTTATTTTATTTCACTGAGAAGTTAAGTCTTATCTTTTCGTGTTAGCAGGAATAGCTCGACCAGGGTTTTGTTTTTTGTTTTGTTTGTTTTTATTTTTTTAAAGATTTTATTTATTTATTTGACAGCGAGAGACACAGCGAGAGAGGGAACACAAGCAGGAGGAGTGGGAGAGGGAGAAGCAGGCTTCCCGCTGAGCAGGGAGCCCGATGCGGGGCTCGATCCCAGGACCCTGGGACCATGACCTGAGCCGAAGGCAGACGCTTAACGACTGAGCCACCCAGGCGCCCCTCGACCAGGGTTTTTAAGCGCTACAGAGTATGTCACAGTGTAGATATGCCATGGTTTATTTATTCATGCACCTGCCCCCCCCCCCACCAATACATCTTTAATCATATCTAGGCTTTTCCTATTCAAGATAACACTGTCAACGGCATCCTTGTACATGCTCCTCTGGGTACAAGCATGAGCACTTCTCCATGATATATACCAAAAAGCGGAGTTAAGATCATAGGTTGCATGCTTTCCTAATTTCAATAAATACTTCCAAATAAATGCCACCCAACCACACACTCCAAAACGTGGTGTACTCACTTGGAAGCCTGAATCCACTCGTCATAGAGTTCAAAGGTCATCAGAGGTTCCGGCAACTCTCGGAGGTAAGATTTCAAAGCTCCTGGACATCGACACAATATTGGTTCTGAGCCACTTTACACTGGCATAGACGCGTCCCACCAGCCGGCATCACCCGTGGCGTGTGGGTCGGGGGACGGGTGCCCCCTGACCCACACACCACGACCAAACAGTGCCTTCCCACATGACTGGATCGGAGGCTCTGGCAGGGCAGTGGGACCTGGACTGCCAATCACATTGGTTTCCCCCTTATTTCCCACCATCATCTCATCTGCTCTCGGCATACTGGGGAGATCTTTCTTCAGGGGGCCCCAGCAATCAGGCTTAAGACTGCGCCTTGAGTGGATACATATGACACATGCTGGGAAGCCACTGGCTCCAGGGTCACGTGACCACACGCCCTTCCCCGTGAGCTCTCCAGCACAAGGGAGCCCCTGGCTAAGGGGCCAGGGGCGCCCACCTGCGATGGCGTGGGGGTCTGCTGAGTACTCCTGCACATCCACCACACAGCAGTCCAGAGCGGCCTTCAGCTTCTTCAACTTGGAGGCAGACGGCGCTACTCGGAAGAGTCCCTAAGACAGCACAGGGGGTCAGTGCGCAGCCCTGAAACTCAAAGGCACACGAGCAAAAGGAACAAACACAAAGTCTCCCTGGCTCCCTTCCTCCAAAATCTCCTTGATGTGTTTTCCCCATCACCATCACCCAATATTATAGTTGCTCTGCTCCCTGCAGGGTAAGTGCGTGCGTGCGTGCGTGCGTCCTGGGAGACGCAGGGCTCTACTCTACTTTTAGAGGCCAAGTCTATGTCCTCAGGGGACGGGCAAACTAGGGGCAGCCTTTCAGGGAGCGACACCTTGGTTGGCCCCTCTGTGTTTCATTCTTAAAGTTACTTCTGAATCCCTGTCACCTCTCCCAAGTGAACCACCGTGCCTTGTACAAAAGTGAGCCCTGAAGCAAAAGAGAAGAAGAAGGAAGAAGGAAGAAGAAGGAAGAAGAAGACAGGGGTGTGCTGAGGAGACAAATGCAGGTCACCATTAGAACGGAACCCCCCCCCAAGCCACAGGTGAGTTAGACATGGTCGAAGAGCTACTGATTGGTTTCGCTTTCTCAGCTCCTGGCGTTCTGTGATGCAGCCCACGGACTGAGAAACGGGCTGGCAGAACAGTCCTTGCTCTTTCAACCTTTCGTGGCCACATGTGGCTCTCCAAAGGTTCTTCAGAAGAAAACGTGCCTGGTCTGGAATACGGAGTGTTTGGCCTGCTAAGATGGCTAACTCCGTTCTAAGTAGATGTCCAAAGCTCTCTTCCTCCGTGTACACGAGGAAGCTCCATAAATATGTTTGGACTAGTGTATAACTAAGGCTGATGTGACCAAGAGCAAGCTACAGCAGATACCAAAGCAGTGGGCTGGATTCTCATAAACCCACGCCACTGCCGAGGAGGAAGCCAAACGCAATGGCACTTGGTGATGGACAATGCCAAAGAGAAGCGAGTAGGGTTGTCAAATAGAAGCCCATAGATTTTTGACTGTGTTACTGAGAAGGCTGTTTCGCCGAGCAACAGATCAAAACCAAGAGGGGGAGGAGGAGATTCTTACAAAAGCTAGTGAGTCCAGTTTGGGGGCATCTGAGGAAAATCTGTGGGTGCATAATGAAGAAATGGCGGCACGCGTGGGAGTGGAGCCCAGAGGAGGAGGGAGGACCCCAAATGCTCCCTGAGGGCAGGGATGGGGTGATGGTGCTGATAATCCCGATGGTGCCGGCAGGGGTGAAAGGGAAACCGGGGAGCCAAGGCAAAAACAAAACCAAAGAGCTGGGGAAGGAGTATGAGGCTGTAGTTGGGTTGAAAAAAGGTTTTTTTTTTTTTTTTTTTCCCCCCAGGCTTGGGACCACCTGAGCATTTCTGCTACTAAAAGGAGAAAAGCTGGTACAAAGTAAGAGAGAAACAGAAGAGAGAGCGGGGTGGCTGAGGGACAGGCAGAAAGAACGTGTGGACGCAGATGAAGTATCTGAAGACATTAACACATCCGTTTCCTTTCTGTATATAATGTTTTTATGTTCCATATTATATGTAACTACTATGTATTCCCTATCTTTTAGAGAAACATACTGAAGTATTACAGGTGAAATGACACAGCGTCTGGGATGGGCTTCCAATTATCCAAGGCAGGCACGGGGCGGGGGCAGGAACGGAGGCAGAGGGGAAGCAGGATTGTCCATAAGCTGCGTGATGAGGCTCACTATTTTATCTTTATGTGTTGCAGTTTTTCCGTAATTTTAAAAAGCGGTGGCGGGGGGTGGGGGAGGCTCAGTTCACCTCCGTCCATAAGGCTCTCGCTCAGGGACTGTAAAGATCTCCTCAACTAGTGACTTATGATAACAGGCACGGGAATGCCCGGCACTTAAAACGTGGTCCAAAAACCCACATTTATCCCCATCCCTTGAGAACAGGCCACATGTCAACACGCCTGGCACAGAGGCGGTGGCCAACATGCATCCGGACACTCACTGGCTTCCTTCTCTGGTGCAGACTCACCTCGGTTTGTCACACGTGACCCAGGGCCCACGTAAAGACTCGCAGCTGTTCTCAATTAATCTGAATTAATCGGGTGCATTTGATGGACGCTAGACACATGTCCCCCAGCACGTTCATAAGCCACCATCTCCCCCTCGTACACTCCGCTCAGCGATAAATGCACAGCACACCATAAGTCAATCTCGACTGGCCGATCAGATCAAAGGAAGATGGACCAGAGATTTTTAAAATAGCCCACAGAAGGGACCAAATGCGAGGTCCACGTCCCAGGAGACCGTTTACACGGCAATAAAACAACAGTCACCCATTTCCCAAAGACTTCTTCACATGTGGCCCTCAAGAAGGGCTTGCTAACGTCACTACCAATCCTACTTTCGGGATCTCTAGAAAAGAGTTACGATCAAAAAGGTTAAAAGGTCTAGTTTTAAAATGAGGGAACTCATCAAGCAGAGGAGGAAGTGGGGGAGGAGGGAAGGGGGAGGAAGGGGGAGCAGCCTGGACACATCCTGCGGAATATGGAGACAGGATGGCTGGAGGGCGGCTAGACGTTCCTTGGGGGTCAGTGGTATCAGCCTCCCACAATCCAAGTGAAGGCTCACGGGAGAAAGAAGGACCAGTGTGTGTGCTGCAGGATGGGGACCGTCTGGGTTGGCGGAGGCCGGGGAGAGGCGGAGATCCCGCAGGCTCTGTGGCCTGGAGAAGGATACCTGCTCGGGGCTGGGTTCAGCCGTCCCCGGACCTACCTCCTCCTGCATCCCACACTCAAGCAGCATTGTCACACAGGCCTCGATGGGAAAGGCGATCTCCCGGCCGCTGATCATCAGGTGCTCCTCCAGAGGCTTCCCGAAGGAAGGCTTCTCCACCCAGGCCTCTGAGCAGGGAAGCAAGAGAGGGGCCCTCATGCTCGAATATTTCTTTTCCTCTGGTCAAAGATCTGCCTGACTCCCCAAGACACGGAGGCCCGGCTGAGTCTCCATTCTTGTGGTTTGGGGAGGAGGGAGGAGCCCGGGCAGGGCAGACGGCTGGTGAGCTGCATCCGGACCTGCCGGGCTTCAGGCTGGATATGCACCACAACCACACACATCCACGCACACCCCCCAACTCATCCCCTGCGGGGAAAAGTGTGTGTGTGGGTGTGCTGGCTCAAGGGACCAGTGTGGGAAGTTCTAGAGGCTCGTCTCAGCGTGGGCCTGCTGAGAGGGGCGTGAGGGTGGAGGAGGTCCGGGGCCTGAGGGTCTCATTCCAGCGGGCGAGCGGCCTCACCCACCTCCCCGCTCCAAGGAAGGTCTGCACTTACCCTGTTGTGCTTTTATCTGAGGCAACACGGCCTGCAAGAGGGCCAGTGACTTCCTGTGGTACTCTGCTTGCACTTCGATGAGCTGAGGAGACACAAGGGCGAACATGACCCTTCGCTGGAGGGTGGGGAGCATAGCTGCTGTGCCCCATGGGGGGCTCCATGTGAAGGTGCTACCTGATTCGCAGGGAAGGAGGCGGAGTCCCCTGCTCTCTCTCAGGCCGCCTCAAATGACGACTCGGGCTTGCCTCCTCCCCAGCCTCGGGAGCAAAGGAGTCCCCAACAAGTGGACATTTTCGAGGCAGGAGAGCCACTGAGGATGACCTTGCCTTGCACCCCAGCCTCAAAGCAAAGGCAACAGACAGAGGTACGACAGGAAACTATAAATGGGGAACACATTTAGAAATCCATTTGCCTAGGGGCGCCTGGGTGGCTGTGGGTGAAGCGTCTGACTCTTGGTTTTGGCTCAGGTCATGATCTCCGGGCCGTGGGCTCGAGCCCTGTGTCGGGCTCCGTGCTCGGTGGGGAGTCTGCCTGGGATTCTCTCTCTCTCTCTGCTCCTCCCCCACCCTGAGCATGCATGCTCTCATGCTCTCTATCAAATAAATAAATAAATCTTTAAAAAAAAATCCATTTGCCTAGAAGACAGAGCTAAATGCTAGGCTGTATACATCTTCGGTTCTGCAAAGTCAGTTTAATATATAAGTGATCAGAAACCGTGTGGCTTGGTCCACAATCCTCAAGGACCTTGGGGGTGAAATTGCTCTGGCTCCATGATATGGCCCCCCCCAAACCCAAATTCTTTCAATTTCCCTGTTTTGACCCTCCTGCCACTAAAACAGCTGCTGAAATGTTAGCCAAGAGCAGATGAACCACGGTAAGCAATAGTCCTGCCATTTCTGTTCTGAGACCCCCACACCCCCAAGCCACAGCTGGATGTGCTTGAGGTAAAGGGGAGAGAATCGCTCCGTTTAAACGCTTGGCACGGAGGGCAGATACTATTATCTCCAAGTAAAAACGGAACGCTAGTTAAGAATTAAAAAAAAAAAATCAGAACTTTAGAAAAAAATGGTACATAAATGGCAAGGAGGCAGTCCAAGAAAGCTTTGGAATGTCAAAAATGTCATTAAGTTCCAGAAATTCTAAAATATTATCTCTGTAAATATACCCAATGGAATATACTTGAGGAAGTGCTATTATTTTAAAATAAACTTTCCAGGCTGGAAGGAATGCTTATCGGTTCTTTTTTTGGGGTCAAGGGAACGCCTCTCAAGGTCTGGATCACTCGCTGATCACAGCGTTGGGGGACTGCTACCGGCCCAGGGTGCTTACAATTTTAAAATTTTCAGGATTTCTCCTTCTTTTTCTCCTCCTTACCTTCCTTATCATTCCATCACTTCCCCAATCATTTAAGGTTTGAGTTTTGTCCCCAGCTTAGAAGGCATGTGAACTTAACTGGATTTTTAATTTGTATTTTTTTTCTCTCAGGTTTTTTTTTTTTTTTTTTTTTTTTTTAATTAGCGCTGGTTTTGTTTTATTTTGTTTTCGACTTGCCTTGCACTTACCCTGGTAGAGAGCCAGGGTCTTAATTATTTGGACCAGATTATTCAAGTATGGATGACTCAGATCCTGTTTCTCTTGGGTCTAAATCTGCTTTCATCGATGAGAATCAGGCAAACAGGCCCCATTAATCACCGTATACCTACTTGTCACTGTCTTCGGCCAAAATGAAAATGAGAAACAATTATCTGCTGAGGGCAGGGTTATCTTCTTCTCCCCAAGTTCCTTGTTTATGACAGACCCGGCTTTTGTAACCGTGGCCAGACTGACATTTGGGACTGAGTCATTCTTTGCTTCGGGGGACTGTCCCATGCACTGGAGGATGCTTAGCCTTGCCCTTGACCTCTCCTCCCTAGATGCACCTCCTCCCCTCATGGTGACGGCCTCAAGTGCCTGTAGACATGGCCAGACATCCACTGGAGGAGGGAACAAAATCACCCTCTGGTTGAGAACCACCGCCACAGACCATGGAGTCGCGGTCAACTTCATAGATGGGTTGAGTTTTATTCTTAGGTTTTTAGAGAAATTCATCCAAGGAGAAATAGAAGACCGGACTTACGCACAGACAGAAGAATTAAAAACCATACTCTTTCCCATGATGTGCTTCACCGAGCGCCCTTCGGTTCCATGCCACGTTCCTTCCTGTTCGCACCCTGACTCTTATGGGCAAACCCGATGTGCCCTTACCTTTCTAGACCCTTACCGTTTGAAAGTAGTTTGCATAGTCGATTTCTTTGGCCACAAAACTGTACATGTCTGCTGAGAGCTGGTCCTGTGGAAGGTAAAATGCACAACCGAGGTAAAACAGAGAACACTCTAGCGGCTAATGCAGGAGTCTAGACATCGTAGAAGCAAGAACCTTCACCGCTGCTTAATCTCATTTTTAATGAATCGCGCCATGGCCCAGACTTTTCTCATGGGCATTCCTGCGTTTCCCAGCCATGACTCCAGAGAATGAGTAAGTGTGGAAGGAGCGATTTCCCCAGGGATTATAAAGCATGAACCACATCCAGAGTCAGGAAAGCTGGTGTGGGGGAGTGATGTGCAAATTACTTCCATGCATCTCTGTAGTCTGTGTCACCACTCCTGAAAATGGTCCGCCCTTTCTTCTCCTTGATGGTTGCACTGCTTTGCTCTCCTTCGCCCCCAATATTGACTGGTCCATCACAAGCATATGGGAAAGAGGCGGAAACGCACCAATCTGGGGGAAGTTGGCAAAGACAGATGGGCGGATTCAAAGGAAGGCTGCTGATTCGAAATTTGGAAAAACCGGGATTTAGTCAATGCCCCAGGCAAATCTAATGTTGTTAACTGTCCTTCGCCATCCAGCTCTGCGTGGGATCAGGGGGCAACGACCTAACGCTGCATCTGAATCTGGAATGTGTCCTCCCCCCGGGGGGAAAAACGGTTTCAGTTCCACAGAAACACCCATAGTGAGGTCCGGTAAAAGTACATTCTGAGAAGGATGCAGACTCGGTCACTAACCATGATTTTTAGCATGTCGTGTGTGTGACCTTGTCTGCACAAGTCAGGTGAGCTCTAAAGGTCCTCCCTGTCTGCAAGCCTCAGGTAGGAGATCTTTACAAGGGCTTAGTGGAGAGAAGAATCTATGATGTCTGTATTGAGGAAAATAGGAGAACAGCACAAGAAAGCTGATCCAGATGCTGAATGAATTCAAGCGAGCAACTACGAGCCTCAGCAAGAGCCTGGTGCGTGGAAACCTCAAGCATCCTGCACCAACCCCACCAACCCTCAGCCCCTCCAGCTGCCCATTAAGCTATTCTCAGTGAGAACACTGGGATGTGAGCGGCAGTTTCCTCTTCTAGTATCCTTGACAGGCCAACCATGTGGAAGAGTTCTTGCACCCAAGGCACAGAGTTAAAAGGGAAATCTGTTCTCTGGAGAGCTTTAAGCACAGATTAGTCAATGCTACACTTGGTCCAGGTTCAAAGAATGAAGAAAGAGGAGGGGGAAATGAATTAACATTCGTTGGGAACAATCTAAGGGCCAACCACAATGTCACTTGGAGTTCTCACCTAACTCTCTTAGGGTAAAGTGCTCAATTTCCAATTTTGGATGAGTGGCTACCGAGAGTTCAAGGATCTTATCTCCTGTCTGTCCTCCACCATCTGAAATGTGCTTTGCACATTAGTAGGGGCTTTGTAACTATTTGCTGATGTAAGAGATGGAGAAACGCAGGCTTAGCAATGGTAACTTTCCCGAGGAATAAAATGTGTTCTAAGCCTCAGCTCCCGCTCACCGGAGCATCCTGGCAATGAAAGCCTTTGTGGGGCTGCTGAATCTAGCAAAGGTTCTAGAGGAATCGACTTCGTCTGCCATTTCCCGCCCCCCTCCGCCAAGCAGCTTTCTTTGGTCAGGAGACATCCATCACTGGCAGCTGTGAGGGAGGTATGTCAAGTCAGGGAAAACACAAAGGGTCAAAGGATCAAAATGGCTCAGCAGGCAGAGGAAAGGGAGGGACCCCTGAAAGACTAAATGTCACACTGAATACACCATCAGTGACTCAGCATTCGAGGTTTGCCAAACGATAATCCTAGAAAAGGCAGACAGACTGTCTGTGAGTGCCCTCAGGAACACCAAAAGGTTTTTTAAAGGTATAATTAGATTACATTCTTACTGAGTTAAGAATACAGGTCCCAAATAAGCTGCACTCCAAAGTCAGAAATAAAAGTGGAAACTAAATCCAATTTCCATGTACCTAAATCATTAGTGAATTTTCTTTATAAAGAAAAAAAAACCACATCAATAATCACCAGAGTTTAACGTGTTTCAAAAATCATTTGTTTTTTGATTTGGCAACCAATCCACACTCAGAAAGATACAGAGTGAATAACCAAATTCACCTGCCATCCCACCACAGAGAGATAAGCTCTAAATACCATGATGGGGCTGCTCATTTTGTATCTATTTTAATCAGTCATATGTTTTATATGATTGCTTGGTTTACAAAAATGGGACCAGATGGTTTTGTAGCTCATTACCCCCCAGATAAACATTCTTTCTAGTGGCCACTCCTTATAGTTAAACTTAAAAAATATTAGCTAGATAGTCATGACTTGGGATATTAGGCTTTTGGTCAAAAAAGAAAAAAAAACCATGACACCTGAGCATATCATATTCAAACTTCAGAAAATCAATAACAACGAAATATTCAAAGAAGCCAGAGGTTAAAAACATTTGCCAGGAGATGACCAAAGATAAAAATTACATCTGACCTTGCCTCAGAAACCATGCAAGCCAGAAGAGGGTGGGGTAAAATATTTAAAGTGTTGAGAAGAAAAAAACCAAAAACCAAAAACAAAACCCTCCAACCTAGAATTCTGTACCCTACAAAATTACCTTCAAAAGGGACTTGAAGAAACTTTGTTGCCCATAGACCTAATAAGAAATGTTAAAAAAAATAAATAAAAAGTTTTTTAAGAGAGAATGAAAAAGATATAGGTCAGAAACTCAGACCTACACAAAGAAGGGAAGACCATCAGAGAATGGGTACTGAAGCTACAATAAAACTTTTATTTTTCTTATTCTTAATCCAACTGATACGTTTGTTCATAACAATAGCAACAATGTATTCATATCTATGTGAATGTATCCATGTATCCAGATAAACATACATGAATGCATGGATACATTCATATATACACACCTGTGCTTATGTTGGCTTATGTACAATATGTACAAGTCAGTGGATGGAACTAGGGACATTTTCTTACTAAGAGATACTTGCACTATAAATGAAACAGTATCTAGCTATTCCAAAGTGGATTTGGATTAGTTGTAAATGTATACTGCAAACTCTAAGGCAACCACTAAAAAGACCTAAAACAAAAAAGTATAATTGATATGCTGAGAAAGGACAGAAAATAAAACCATATAAAATGCTAAAGTAAAACTCAAAAGGCAGAAAACCTGAAGGCAGAAATAGTAATAAAGAACAAGGGCAACCAATAAAAAACAGGAACAATTATGGTAGATATTAATCCAACTATATTCAATAATTGTTTAAACAACAATGAAAAGACACCAATTAAAAGGCAGATATTGTCAGAGTGGATCAAAAACCAATGCCCAACTATATGTGGGTTACAAGAAACCCGCTTTAAATATAAAGATATGTGTAGATTATGGGGCGCCTGGGTGGCTCAGTCGTTAAGCGGCTGCCTTCGACTCACGTCATGATCCCAGGGTCTTGGGATCGAGCCCCGCATCGGGCTCCCTGCTCGGCGGGAAGCCTGCTTCTCCCTCTCCCACTCCCCCTGCTTGTGTTCCCTCTCTCTCTGTGTCTCTGTCAAATAAATAAAATCTTAAAAAAAAAAAAAAGATATGTATAGATTAAAAGTAAAAAGATGGAGAAAGGCATACCCTGTTAACACTAATCAAAAGAAAGTGGGAGTGGCTGGCTATACGTCCCCCAGACTGGCATTCTGAGTGAGAGAAATTATCAGGGATAAAGAGGGACAACATTAATGCTAAAGGGGTCATTCTACAAGATGTAACAATCCTTCGTGTGTGTGCACCTAACAACACGGCATCAAAGTACATGAGGCAAAGGTGATAGAACTGCAAAGAGAAATACAGGAATCCACTCTTATAGCTGGCGACTTTAACACCCATCTATCAGAAATGGACAGCTCCAGCAGGGAGAACTACAGTATGGACAGAGCTCAACTCAACGGCACCATCCATTAACTAGATAGAGCTGACACCCACAGACTAGTTCATCCAACAACAGCAGAATACACATTCTTCCCGAGCTCGCAAGGAATGTCCACTAAGACAGATCACACCATGGGCCATGAAACACATTTTGACAAATCTAGAAGAACTGAAATCATACAGTGTTGGCTCTCTGACCACAGTGGAATTAAACCAGAAATAAAATTACAGAAATAGAGCTGGAAAAATCCCCCAATACTTGGAGATGAAACAACACAATGCTAAATAACAACCTGATTTAAAAATGGGCAAAAGACCTGAACAGACATATCACCAAAGTATTACGGACAGATGGCAAGTAAGTGTGTGAAAAGAGGTTCATCATCTTACGGCATCGGTGAAATACAATTTAGAACAACGAGACACCACAGTACCTCTGCTGGAATGGCCAATACTCAAAACACAGACCACACCAAATGCTTCAACCTTGAGGTGGAAGATGCCTGGGATATTTTCCCATGCAAAGGAATACACGCATATAAACAAGTTTTTAATGGCAGACATCAACAAAGCCAAGTGGCAAATAGCAGACTGGAAAAATGATCTGCAACACAACAGAAAGAAGAAAGTTTAATACCCCTAATATGCAGAGAAAAAAATTTATAAATTGATATTTAAGAAAAACAGAAATGTTGGTCCAATTGCCAATACAAATAGGCAATTTGCCAGCCTGGGAATGTCTATGCATATCTGAAGAATATCCAATAAAGACACAAAGATCCACTCAGCATTACTAAGTCAGGGAAATTAAAATTACAGTAACATAGAGATAAGACAGCTTTTTCCCCCTCACCAGACTGGCAAAAGTTGAAAATAGGAACAATATACATCACAGGGAAAGATGTAGGGAAATGTGCAATTTTGTATATTGCTGGTGGGAATGTGAACTATTTCCTTTTGAGAGAAGTTAACTGTCACTACCAAAATTTAAAATGTATAGTCTTTGACCTAAAAATATCACTTTGGGGAAGCTATCCCATAAAAAAAAATTACCAGTGCATAAGAATATACATATAAAGATGCTGACTGTATCATTCCTGGTGAGGGCAAAAAACAGAACATACTAGTTTGAATATCCATCAACAGGAAAAGAGTTACACAAATCATGGTGTATACGTATCCTTATGATGGAATACTATGGACTTTATTAAAAAGACTAAGAGCTATAGCTACTAACCTGGAGAGATATCCAGGATGTATTAATTGAGGAAAGTAAGTGGTAAATTAATATAAACAACAGAACTGTTCTATAAACACACACACACAAGTAACTAGGAAAATTCTATGAGCATATGTTTGTATGATTATGAAAAAAAGGGGTGGGAGTCTATATAAAGGCCCTACAACTGACCTCCTTCATCTTTGTAACTTTTGTGGCCACTCGGCATGTAACAGAGCACCACTGTTCACAACAATTCTGAATAAATGTTGGTGAAGAAGGGGAATTGGCCACTCTCTCTGGAAACAGAGGGGTTGCTGGGTAGGAATGGGGGACAATTACTGGTCTTTCTCCTTGATATATTTTCATGCTTTTTCACTGGTTATGGCAAAATGTATTACTTCTTTAATCTTTCAAAGGGAACTGAACATATTTTTTTTGGTAAAAAAACAGCACACGTAAAGAGCTACAGAACAGCGAAGGTATTAAACTACTGTTGTGATGTACTTGGAGAGTCATATTCAGCATCCCCTCGACACCACTGTCTCTTGTCTGTTATGGGGTGATTTTTGTAAGAAACGGGACTCTTAACTAAAGAACACAAGTCTACGGTAAAATGGGGACGTTACACAGAGTCAAAGTGAGATCAGCATGAGAGTTAGACTTCACAAATGGCACCAGCTAAGTATTTGTCTTTTGGGAGTTCAAATGACAAACCAGCTGTACTGACGATGTATCTCAGGACCTGATGAAGCATTTCAAGGTCTTACTTTGCTCAAGTCCATGGTACTGTAGGTGGAGAGACCATGAATTCTTTACCGACTCGTCAGGGTTCCTCATTCCAGAGAGCAATTCTATCTGACCCTGAACGTCACCTGAATGCAAGGTTGAAGCCACCCCACGCAGAGCGGCTATAAAAAGAGAAGCCAAAGGGCAAGGTGACAAGACTAGAAAAAGCCACAAAGAACAGAGATGTCTGGATGCCAAGTGGCGACGCTCTTTTAAAACCGTATGAGATTAGGGGGCGCCTGGGTGGCTCAGTCGGTTAAGCATCTGCCTTTGGCTTGGGTCATGATCCTGGGGTCCTGAGACTGAGTCCCGCATCGGGCTCCCTGCTCAGCAGGGAGTCTGCTTCTCCCTCTGCTTCTCCCCCACCTCGTGCATGCTCTCTATCCGTCTCTCAAATAAATTAAATAAATAAATAAAATCTCATGAACGGGGTCTTGCTAGTTCTGCCCCAAACAACATTTGTGGCAAAGATGCGAAACGTCTGAACAGGTGTACAAAGGGCTTCTGACATTCCCAAGGGCAGAGGCATGGATTTCTTAGAATGCGACATTCCTCTCTTAACAAGAGGGAGACCTCCTCTTTTCGCGGACTATCTCCTTGGTCAGCATTTCAACTTCACAGTTGACTATGTCCAAGGAGGCAGGAGATGGGTCAAGTGACTCAGGAAATGTTATTCCAAGGTGAACAAAAAGAAACAATTTAATACCAACAGCAAGTCAAGGTTGGTCTACTGTCTAAATTCTCAACTGTTCCACCCAGCCGAGAGTCCATTCTGTGGGACTCAGGTGCCTTACAAAAGCTTCACAGAGACACCAAGGCTACTTCCTCTGTGCCCGATGCACGGGAACCCCGTTGCTAACGCACTGCTGTCCCCCCTGTTGAGACCGCCTCGAAGCCCCCAACTCTTAGGGCTCACCCCAGGCTCTAGAGACACCAGCAGGCAAGCTTGGGGACATTCAGCTCAACCAGAGCTCCCGCTTAGGTTTTAATAAAATGCCTGTGAGGAAAAGGGGACTCCCTTAGGGTTCCCCCATCTGTCCCGGTAAAGAGGAGCAAAGACGGGGGCGGGGAGGATACCCTGCAAATCTCCACTCTGTTGGCAGCTTCCTCCATTTCTTCCCTGAGGGCATCAGCTTTGGCACCCGCAGGCTGCAAGCCACCGGACAGACCTGAAGACTTGGAAGTCTGCTGCCACCTGATGGAAAACGGGAGAAAAAGAGGGGAGGCGTGAGACAGGTGGAGCGCCCTGGGAATAACACCGTGGGGACGCGGAGAAGAGAAGCGGCTTACAAACACTACCCAGGAGGAAGGGGGCAGCTGTGGCCGGACACGGAGGGGACAGGCATGCCCCAGCCTGCCACCATTTCCCCGGAAATGTGTCGCCCGATGACCATCACTGGTGCTTTGTCCGAGGCCCGGTCTATGTCATCCCCGTAAGCTCCCTGCCTTCCTTCCCCGTGGGCTCGGAGTCTGGAAACACTCGCCGACGTGGCTGGAGCCAGTCACGGGTGTCGGGTGGGAGGGAGCAGAAGAGCAGAATCAAAACAAATCCGAAAGCCAAAATCTCCACCGGCCAGCACAAAAAAGCTTCCCGTAGACACTCGGATACCGCGTTCGTATTTCCTTCGACGTCTGTCCTTGCGCAGAGACAGCAGGTGTCGGAGGATGTGGCTCGGGAAAGTGTCGTGGCGAAGCACAGATGTTTCTGCCGGCCCTGGCATTGTCAGGGAATTACCAAGAGCCCTGAAGGAAGATTCCGATCACACAAGACAGTTATAGGAGTTGCAGCAGGGATGAGCAGTGGGTTCTTTTTCCACGGAGTCTGTACATTCAATGGCTTATAGGGGCCCTGGAGTAAGAGCACCAAGTCAGATGGGTCAGTATCTTAAAAAACGAGTCCACCCTTTGTTTCCCTACTTGTAACTGGGACGGTTGAGATGCACAACCACTTCATGGCCCTAAGAAAAACAATGGGGTCATTAGGATGACAAAGGGCGGCCAACAGGGGACGGCAGTCTCTCAGGGAAGTCGGGAAGGACAGTGAGGGGAAGGGGACCCTGATGGGGGTGCTGGCCTCCCTCAGTTGACAAGAGATGCTGGAAACTGTCATGTGAACACTCTAAAGAAATAGGGCAACAGACTATAAACAGTTTTGCTTAAACACCATGCAGGCCAGTGGCGTACACACCAAACCTGATGGCCCTATAGGCCCTATCTGGCTCTTAGGCCATCCATCCTAGAGGCACAAAGTGCAATGTGACCCTCATTTTGAGAGTCAACAATCCCTAGCTGGTTTCTCTACATGATTTCTTCTTTCTCTGAGTTTGTTATCTGTGGGACAAAGAGAAGAGTACAAGACTATGACACAAGAAAGGGAAATGAAAGTCCTCTTTGCTATTAGCAAAAAAGAATAAAATAAAGGATTCTGTGTTACTTTAAAAAAAATGTATTCATGTGGGGGGGGGGCGCCTGGTGGCTCAGTCCGTTGGGCATCTGCCTCTTGATTTCGGCTCAGGTCATGATCTCAGGGTCCTGGGATCGAGCCCCAGGTCTGGCTCTGTGCTTAGCGGGGAGTCTGCTTGAGATTCTCCCTCTCCCTCTGCCCCTGCTCACACTCGCTTTAAATAAATAAATAAAATCTTAAAAAAAAAATGCATTCACAGGAAAATGACTTAAGAAGGCTTTGGGATGTCAAGCTGGCTTGAAGGTCCGGAGATGGACACACATGTCTTGGAAACCATTCATTCCTCATCCGAGCTAAGAATTCAGGGCAAATTACAAAGGAAATAGTCTACTCAAAGATGTTGAAAAATCTAACAGATACGGACTGCAAAAACTCGTGGGTAGTTCTTTCTCATAATGGTTTGCCCGACAGAAATGATCTGTTTAATAAACTCCCAGTTTAGCCACTTGAAACAGAGTATTAAAGCGTTGTGGGATTTTTTTTTTGTCAAATAAAATAGGAGATGCCATGGCTATAATTTAGATTGCTGATAATGAATATGGTAGATTATGAGATTAAGCTCAGGGGTGCCTGGCTGGCTCAGTGGGTAGAGCACATGGCTCTTGATCTCAGGATCTCAGGGTCATGAGTTCAAGCCCCACACTGTGTGTGGAGCCTACAAATAAATAAATCAACCAACCAACCAACCTGCAACCACCATGTGGCTCATGCTATCTCAAGAAAAAACAACCAAACAATATACGTATGAAAAAAAATTAAGTAAACAGACACTGATTTTTTGAGGCTTCGAAGATCTGGATTTGATTTTTTGTAAAAACCCCAATCATCCTTAATATGTGTCTATTAAAATGAAGATATTTCCCCAAACTACCTTTCTTTTCTTTCCTATTTCCCTCTGTCTTTTCCCCTAAATATCTACTTTAGATAATCTCTTGGCAGTTTAGATCTTTCCCCCTCCCTTTATAGGGAACTTTATTCGCAATAGAGAAGTAACCTCCTTTGAGATTACAAAATAGTGATAAGATGCAGAATGAGAGGGGCACCTGGGTGGCTCAGTCGTTAAGCGTCTGCCTTCGGCTCAGGTCATGATCCCGGGGTCCTGGGATCGAGCCCCGCACCAGGCTCCCTGCTCCGCGGGAAGCCTGCTTCTCCCTCTCCCACTCCCCCTGCTTGTGTTCCCTCTCTCGCTGCCTGTCAAATAAAAAAAAAAATAAAAAAATAAAAAGATGCAGGATGAGAGTGTGGAAATCAGATAATAAAATAGCAAGGAAAACATGGGAAAATGTGTATGGACAGTAATCTGCTGGGAAAAGAGACCATAATCATGAATTTCAAGGTATGGTGGCTTTGTCAGACATCTGTTCTGTAAATAAACTCAAGCACTCTCCTGCTCCGTCAAGAGAAGAAACCAGGGATTCTCGACCAAGAAGTCTGAGCTTTCAAATTTGCAGAGCAGAAAGTTCTGGGCATTAAGGAGGGCACGTGATGTAATGAACACTGGGTGTTATATGCAACTGATGAATCACTGAACTGTACCTCTGAAACTTATAATACACTATACGTTAATTGAATTTAAATAAAATAAAATAAAAAGAAGAAAGTTCTTCTCTGATGTGACACCATTATTAGCTGGGAAAAGGTGCCATTGCCATAGGGTCTGGGGGAGGTAGAGACAGAATACTAGCTTTAATGAAGGCTAGAGGAGAGAAAAGGGCCAGGAATAAGGGTATGGAATTTTAGGGATCAGGAAAAGGGTCAAGAGGGCAAAGGTGAGAGTTCAGGGCGACGGGAAGTAGAAAGGAAGAATTTCTGGGAGGCAGACAGGAACGTTCCTTTAAAGGGACATTTATTATTTCATCTGTCCGGTCTCCTTTCCTCTGTCATTGGCATCCTCCAGTTTGTGAGGTCCTGCCCTACTCCTGCTCTGATGTGTGGGCCAAAGGGAGCTGCCAGGGTTTTTGTTTTTTGTTTTTGTTTTTTAAGACGTATTTATTTTAGAGAGAGAAAGAGAGAGAGCAGGGGAAGGGGCAGAGGGAAAAAATATCCAAGCAAAGCAGATTCCCGCTGAGCGCGGAGCCTGATGCAGGGCTTGATCTCACAACCCATGAGATCAGGACCTGAGCTGAAACCAAGAGTGGACGCCTAACCAACTGAGCCACCCAGGTGCCCCGGGAAGCTGCCAGTTTTGCAATGACCCTCACCGTGAGCGGCCCAGGTGAGGGTCCCTGATGCAAGCCAAGTCCACACCCAACCTTCATCACCTTGACCAACTGAGAGGCCAAGGAAGTGGCATCTAAGCAAAGTCTAGACAAATGGACCCCCTTCTCTGTACTTTTACAATTAGAACAAAAAGAACAGGTCTCATGCTGGGGAGACAGGAGCCCAAGGGACTATGAAGACACTGGATCTAAGATGCCTGATTCGGGAGAGGTAGGAGGTAAGGAACAGCTTCTAAGACAATGAGACTGTGCAGTCCTTCCCGGAGGCACTAAAATCTCTCCTAATTAGCTACTTCTTTAATTCCATGAGCTGCCCAGTATCCATCCCCCAACTCTCCTGTTTTATTTATATTATTAGTTCACCTGCTTCCAGAGAAGGCAGGTGTCTTCATCTGCCCGGGCTGCCGTGACAATATACCACAGACTAGGTGGCTTAAGAACAGAAATTAGTTTTCTAGAAGTTCTGGAGGCTGGAAGCTCCAGATCAAGGTTCTGGCAGGATTTGGGTTTGGTAGAGGCTCTCTTACTGCCTCCTCACTTGGGCCTTTCCTCTGAGTGAGCGTGTAAAGAGAAAGAAATCTGTCCCTTCCTCTTCTTAGAAGGCCACCAACCCAACCTGGATTAAGGCCCTACCCTTATGACCTGACTTAACCTTAATTACTTCTGAAAGGTCCTATCTCCAGATAGAGTCATATTAGGGGGTTAGAGCTTTAACATGTGAATTTGGGGAGGGAGGATGAAATTTAGTCCACAGCTATTCAGCAGAAGCATAAAGGGTTCTGGACCCAGAAGGGTTGATCTTGAGACACACGCTCAGAAAAATTGAGGCAGACTTTGGGAAGGAACGGGGCTCCTTCTGCAACCATTGCCAAACCAAATCTATCACAGAAAAGACACTGTGTATCATTTGATTCAATTCAATTCAATTCACGATCTTAAATTCAGCATAAAGCTTGAGTTTTTCCTCCAGCCTCCCTATCTATCATCTTTTATTCAACTTCTAAGCTTCGGTCTTCTCTAGGATATTAAGGCTTGTACGATTGGCTTTCCAAGCAGACAAGCCAGATTTACTCGAATCGAGGCAAATACACACCTTGGATTCAGACCTACTTAAACACTGGATAAAGGAGTTGGATTGACAGTATCCACCCAAGTTGTAGAATTCAAGGTAACTCGGGAATGACAAAAAAGGACTAAAGAAAGGTTTGGTAATCCCGCAAAGAACAGAACCTACAAACTGACCACAGTGGGAGGCAGGGTGGAGCGGGGATGGGGGCAGGAAGAACCCACTGTTCCAGAAGAGCAGCTGGTGATCCTTGCTCTTCAACGGCAGAGCATCTGGTCTTACTCTCACTGCTGTATCTTGGGATGTGGTCCTCATGCTGGATGAAGAGCGAGGGGTTAGGGGAAAGGCAGGAAGCTGGGGTGGGTTGGCTTCCGAAAAGACAAAGGTTGTCAAGGGTCTCGACTGAAGTTTAGAAGCATAAAAATTTGGATGGGGGAGGTAGAGATTTCCTGACAATCAGCATGTCTTTACTCCTCGTGTGACTCCCCAGAAGTGGGTCTTGAACGCTGATGTCATGGGCGGCAAGTGGACGTGGTCTGAGGATACGGTAGTCGGTGGTGCCAAATCCATACTCCCCACGCAGCCTGCTCAAGTCTTCCTCCACAAGCACGAAGGAGAGAGCCTCAGACCTGGGTCGGAAAAACTCTGACAACTTTCCTCCTCTTCCTTCTTAACAGAAGGGGATGAGCTTCGGGATCACAGCCTTCCATAGGCAACAGGATGTAAAATTTAACTGCACTGGCTTTGCTTTTGTCCTGTTCACTTCTGTGTCTACCGGGCATTCACAGCAAAGGGTAGTGCCTTTCGATGGGCGGTAGGGCTCTAACATTTTTTGAACGGATTCATTTTGAAGAAGCGGATCGACTTTTTGCGAGATGCGTGGGTTCAGATGTCCAAAACTGGTCGGGTGGACTGAAGTTTGGGAAACACTAAATTAACGAAAGACATCTTTGTTTCTCTGCTGTACTAACCTGTTCTCTTTCTGGTCTTGGGGGGACCGCCCTACACTTCGTATTGGTCCAGATGCAGAATTCTAGGGTCCCAGCTAGCACTTGGGAGGCGCCGTGACAAATGTGATCTCAACCGACACTCAACACAACCTCCTCACGTCAACTCATGAACGGTATTACTACCTACGTGCAGGTGATGGAACTGCAACTCTGGAAGGTTGACTGACTTGACCAAGCTCACAGGTCTCGAAAACAGGTGACCTGGATCTCACCATCTCACCTTGGACTCCGGCTTCAGGACCCTATACTACATCTCTCAGTCCGAGTAGATCAGTATTTTCTGGTTTTGTTTCTTTTCCTCAAGAAAATTAAAAAGAGGTACAGAGAGGATTAAAAGTGACCTGCAAAGGACCTCTGGTAGCACCAAAATGTTCCTTCTGTATTAATCTTCAGGAACCTGCATTCCTTCCAGTTGCACAGTTAGGCGCATACACCACTGCGAGAATTAGGAAGCTGTATATGCACCATCGGGACATATGGCGGTCAGAGTCAATGGCATCTCAGGGCCTCTGGAGACCCCCTGCTCTAACAGGCACTTTCTGGAGGCTTCTGAGAGATGCTGCAGGAGGAGAGCAACACAGCTAGAATGCTGCTTCCCTCATACTGGCCTCAGGTTCAGAGAATGGCTACAGAAAGGAGGGCTATACACACTGGCTTTAGGAAAAGGTGGGCAGGTCCCAGAACCAGAAATTTCCCCCTTCTTTAGACACAACACCTCACCCACCCTGCCTCTTTGAGCTCAGCTCCTACTATGTCCCCCTTGGCTCTTACCCCGGCCACGCCGCCTTGGTGCTGTACCCTGAATATGGCAGCCTTATCTTCCCCTTACCCTCTGCCTCAGGGCCTTTGCACATGCCGTTCCTGCTGTCATGGACTCAATGTCCCGTGCCCAATCTCTGCATGGCTGCCTCCTTCTCATCATTTAGGTCCCAGATCAAGTGCCATCTCTAAGACGACTTCTCTGTTTCAGCCCACCTAACGTTGTAGTCTCCCTTTCTCCACCGCTCTCCCCTAAAACTGCACCACGCTACCTTCCTCACAGGACTTACAGACTTGTCTAGGGTCTCCGTCTCCCACACTGGGCTACAGCCCCCGTGAGAGCAGGGCCCCCGTATCTCTGACTCACGACACTCACCTCCGGTGCCTGCCACGTCAAGGGTATTAAGAAAAACTTAAGAGAACAAAAACACACTCAACAAATGCCTCTACCCACACACCCCTCCCCACCCCCCAAATACAATCACTGTTCCTCTTCCAAGAAGCAAAAAGGAAAGCAAAGAAACCCTTCTGTACCTCGTTCGTGAAGAATCCATGTCCAGCACCAGCTTTGCTAAGTGTTTCCTCTGCTTCTGAATGTTTGGGATTTCCACCTGTGGTCACAGGACAGAGTCAGACTGAAGCTTCAGGTGAAGTCTTAAGTGGGCTGGAGGGCTCATTTCCAGAGGAAACCCTCAATTCTCTTGCCTGAGCTCACTGCTGCTCTGGCTTCACTGGACACCTGCCAGGCCCTCCTTTACCCCAACCCTCTTTGGGGGCTCTCTACTCCTCTGCTCACTTTATTATGCCCGGTCTCACTCTTGCCTCCACCTCGGCCAGCAAACGTGGGCTCCATCCCAGCTCTGTCCACAGCACAAGGGCCATGCGTGGGGAGAAAAGCAGAACGAGCTGACACACAGACCTAATTCAAAACAGACAGCAGCATGACTGGTCTCAGGAGGCTTGAGATCTGATGGGGGAATGCAATCAGGAGGTATTTTTACAGAAATAAAGTAAAACTTCTTTTTTCCCCCCAAATAAATACCCGATGAACATCACCACGGCTCTGTTCAGCTATGACAAGTTCTTCCACAGTGGTTGGTTGTATGTGGATGCTCTTTTTACAGTTTTATTTCTAAAAATATCTCCACTGAACATCCCAGTGTGGGATTTTGGGCCCCGGGGCTCAGCCAAAGAGGGGCAGGAAGTGAGAATTTAAAAGGGAAAACTGACTATATTGAAACCAAAAATCATCTCAGGCCACGGCTTTTATAGAGAAGGGAGAACCGTGAGGAAGGTCTTTGGAGCAGGGGTGAGTAACGTATGGAGGGGAACCATATCTGATATGGAAGAGAAGAAGTGGCCCTGGGTTCCTCCAAGCACCACAGAGCCCACAAGCAAAGCTGGAGGGGACTGGGGACATCTGGTTGGTACAAGTGAGTCTCAGCACCCAGGTCAAACGCGTCCCTTGGGTTTACTTCAGGCTTTGCCTGAGACCGCAGGCCACCTTTCCGAAGAGCAAAGGGCCTCTCACATATGCACTTGGCTGGGCAACAGCCTGTAAGAGGATAGCATCTGAGGAGTCTAGAGCTGATCTCTGTCAAACCACCATATATAGGATTTTCTCCTTGAAAACTTTTAGGCACTCTGGTTAACAATTTGCCCATCCATTCTGTGACAGAAATTGCACCAGAGGATGGGGAGGTGCTGGGGGCAGTCCAGGAAGGAAACCAGGCCTGGTCTAGGGCAATGCCGTCCAATATGGTAGCCTCTAGCTTCCTGTGGCTACAGCGTTTTAAATTCGAATGAACAAAAATTAAATAAAATTTAAAAGGTAGTTCCTCAGTGACACTAAGCACGTTTCAAGAGCTTACTAGCTCCCAGGTGGCTAGTGGCTAGCAAACCGTGCAGACACAGAGCATCTGCAGTTCCATGGGACGGGGCTGGGGCGGTCCTGGATGGCCAATTCGGGGCAACTGGTGGGACGTCAAGGGCTCAAGGCACATAAAATCCCCAACCATTTCCATTCTTTTTTTTTTTTTTTAAAGATTTTATTTATTTATTCATGAGAGACAGAGAGAGAGAGAGAGAGAGAGAGGCAGAGGGAGAAGCAGGCTCCCAAGGAGCAGGGAGCCCGATGCGGGACTCGATCCCAGGATCCTGGGATCATGACCCGAGCCGAAGGCAGACGCTTAACCATCTGAGCCACCCAGGCGCCCACCATTTCCATTCTTATTTGACACAATTTCACTTGGTTGAAGCTAGCCAAATTGTCACGTGGACATCAAGGTGTCTTTGTACGCAAATGGTTTTATTTGGTATCCTTTAAGATCCAAAGACAAAGGGGGATGAAGAGTGCACTTATCGCAAGGAGCACTGAGGAAGGTATAGAACTGTTGATTTGCTCTATTGTGCACTTGAAACTCACAGAATGCTGTGTGTGAACTACACTGGAATTAAAGTAAGAAATAATAAAATCGAATTAAATGAAAGAGAAGGGATGCATGTACACATAAGGTGCCAATGGCCCTACAGGGAGTCTCCTCCTGAGACTGGGGGCTGCCATTCCTTTTCCAGAAGATGGGAGATGGGTGGAGGGCAGGGTTGGTATAGCGTGCAGGCTCTGGTGGGGAAGGCCGTTGGGAGCTAGCTTTGTTCCTGTCCCCACCGGAACACCAGGGGAGAAGAGTGTGGGTGGGAGAGGGGACCAGCAGGCAGCGGGAGGGGCTGCCACATCGGGGAATCCAGACCAGGCGGACGGGCAGTGATAATTCCTGATGAAGAACAGGGTCACCGGGCAGTGTGGCCTCATGTGTGCGGCTTACCTCGGCCAGCAAAAACAGGGGCTCGATCACGTCTCTCTCCACCTGCAGCTCAAAGTGGATCAGCTCCTGAGCCAGCTTGTCCTCTGTCTCTCCGCAGAGTTTCAGCATCTTCCTGCAACGGGAGGGGAAAGCCATAGGTGTGGATGGAGAGGGCATTCAAATTCTTTTTCCGATCTGCTGCAAATTTCAACTTTCAGGTCGTGGACTTCTCTTTGTTCCTTTTTTAATGGTGTCTTTGATTTGATTTGTCTATTACTTACCTCCATGCTCCTGATGCTACTTGTTAATCTTTTTTTTTTTTTTCTTTTTTAAGCATTGGCTATTGACAGTCAACTCCGGAAAATGAGAATTTGGTGATCTTTACATCTGCCCTCCCTGCATTTATTTATATCAGTAGACTTTTAGTATTTGCACTACATTTTGATCCCATGTGCCATTCAGAGTTTGGCTGGGTAGGATATGGTGATCACTGGTCTTTCCCACACATTTGTCCTCTCTGTAGAGTTAATAATTGTCTTGCTTTGGTTTGCTTGTTTAGTTTTTCTATAGACCTGACTGAACCCCAAATCCTCCACCACTATTTTGTCTAAGATACTGAACCACACTTGATGTGAATGAATTCCATCTTGAATTCGTCTCTCCTGGACCTGCGTCAACCTGGATTGACTTTCCCTTCGATCCCTTGGCACAGCTGTCTTCCTGCACACTTCCTTCCCCATTTCCTGGGATTTTTCTCTCCCTCTGTCCTATGCCAGATAGATCTTATTTCCCATATCCTGTGTCTACCTCTTTCTTAGTCACTCCATTGTAGAGCACACCTTGCTTTAGCTGCCCGAGAAAGAATGTGCAGGAAGCCAATTTTTGAGACCTTGCATGTCATGACATTCCCCTCTACCCTCATGTTGATTGCTAGGCAGGATATTGAATTCTATGCTGAGCATCATATTCCTTCAGAATTTTGAAGGCATTCCACAGCAATCTCCTTGTTTCCATTGTTGCGTTTGGCAAGTCTGGAAGCATTCAGATTTCTGAGCCTTTCTATGTGACCATGTTTTTTCCTCCAGAAGGTTGTAGAATCTCTGTACTTGTCACTAGTCTTCCCTAGCGGTGAGCCCAGGCACAGGTTCAACTTTTTCTATTGTATCAGGAGCTCAGTGAGCCCTTTCAATATAGGAACTCAGGTCCTTCTGTTCTGGAAAACTCTTCTGGATTACTTTATTACTACTGTTATTCTTATATTTTAGTAATATAAGTTATTCAGGCCTACAACTTACTGGATTGGTCCTCTAATCTTCCAACTTTTCTATTTTTCCTGTCATGGTTGTCTTCTACTCGTCTCTGAATTTCTTCGACTTTATCTTCCAAACTTGCCACTGAAAATGTACTCTTTGTTTCCATGAGCTTGCTCTCGACCTCAGAGAATTTCTTTCCCATAGCATTTTTTTATTGACATCCTGGGTTTTTTAATTCTTTCTTTTTTCATTGAGATATAATTGAAAAACATACTGGCTTTCATTCATGGATGCATTATTTTCTCTTAGCACTTGACAATGTAAGCAATGTGTTTTCCTGAAATCTCCTTCCCATGCAATATCTATTTCTTCCGAGTTATATTTTCTCCTCCCCTACTGTTTTGGTATGTAGGCTGCAGGTTAGACTTCCTCCAAAGTCTGGTGAGCTTGGACGCCTGTCTATATTTAAGAGTGGGGACTCAACAGCTTGGAGTATGTGAGTAAAGCTCATCGGCTGCAAGCTTATCTATAGGATGGCTGAGCTGGGCCATTTGTTCAAGCATCGCCCCCTCCAATATCTTTGAGTCTTTAGTTCATTCCTGTTGGGCCGGTCACATTTGCCAGAGAAGGCTCTTCTTGCTTTCCTGCCTACAGAGGAAAGACCTGGGGGTCGCATGGGTGGGGGGGAGAGAGATGCAGAATCTCAGCCTCCAGTAGGCATTAGTCACTTTAATGTGTGATACCCTTACATGGTGTCCACAGCCTGGGGACACTCTGCTTTATACCCTCCAGAGAATAAAGCTCCAGACTCTTCTGCTGGGGCTGGAGGTGAGGAGATGAGGGTCTCCCAGAGCTGTGGAGAAGGGCTGGGTTTGAGCCACCCAAGTGAAAATAAGCTAGCTTTCAACACACACTCATAACTTGGATCACCTCCCAGCCCCAAAGACCCACTCACCATTCTAGAGATCCCTGGGGCCACCACGCCTGAGCCTGCAAGCATTTCAGGATGTAAATGACATTGGCTGTCTGTATATCCTACTTCTGGCTCCAGAGTTCACTTTCTGAGACCTGTCCAGTGAGTTATCAATCCATTCTAAGCTTCACAGCTCACAAAATTTTGTTTCCTCTCCTGTTTTTCATGCCTTTCTGGGTTCATGTCTTTTAATAAAAAAAAAAAAAAAAAAAAATCCCTTCATCGTAGTGGATTTGGGAAGGGAACAAAATTCGATGTTTGTGCTCAGTCTGTCATTTTTACCTGGGTGTCCTTCATCCCTTCACCTCCAACCTTCCTGTGTCCCTGTGCTTCAGGCGAATCTCAGAATTAGCGTGCATGTCAAACAATGAATCATGGAACACTACATCAAAAACTAACGATGTAATGTATGGTGATTAACAATAAAAATTAAAAAAAAAAAAAGAGCGTGCATGTTTCTCCACCTGTGATGCTCTATATTATGAGCTGTCGAGTTTATTCCATCTTTTATGACTGCAGATAAAAAGCTCTTAACTTATACCTTTACTTTGTTTTCTCTTTCCTTGCTTTTTGCTCTTTTAGTCCCTTCTAGGGTGTTTTTTTTTTTTCCCTATTTTATTTACTTCCCTTTTCATCCTGTTACTAATTTCGAAGTGCCAAATTCTATTCCTCTTGGGGTTCCTCTTGCTTTTCTAACACACACACCTTACACAAAAATGCAACATCTTGTCTTTCAAAGAGTTAAAGACCTTGAAACACTGATCGCCTTCCCAATGTTCCATGCTTTATTTTCTGGTATTTTTGTTTCACTTTGCTTTACACCCCCCCCCCAACACACACAAATTAATGTTTTAATTCAATGCTTATTTGTATTTCTTTACACCAAAAGGTAACAGAATATGCCATCCCCAAAATGCCGCTTGGGCATAAGGACTATTTTGAGCTGAAGACAATCGAGAAGCAGATACAGAAGAGATCTCTGCCCTCCCCCTATTTGCCCTAAGAGCAGGACATGGACTGTAAAGCTGTCGTCCTCCCCTCCCTACCTGGAAGGACAGAAGTCAATCACCAAACACAACTCCAGAGCCTTATCAGCCAGACATGAACCCAGAAATGCACCACAGGAACCTACATATAAACCTGACTCATAAGCCTTATCTTCCATTTGCTCCCCCATATACCTGCCACCCTAGGAATTCACATTTCTTCTCCTTTGCCTTGTCACTTCCCTAAAAATTGTTGTTCTTTTGTAAAAAGTGCTACCTAAGCCCGAGTTCGAACCTGCCTTTGAGTTACTCATCACCGAGTTCTGCCGTGTATGCACTGCACCTGTTAATAAAATGTGCATGCTTTCCTCTGTTGATCAATTTAATTTGCAGGGCCCCACTCAAGGAACCTCAGACAGGTAGAGAGAAAGAGAATTTCCAGCCCCTGCACGGCGCTCACTCAATTTTTTATGCTATCTGGCTACTTGCATGTCATTCCTTCCTTCTGCATGTAACCTGTTTCACACACCTTAACTAGTTCTTACAGTGAGAATATGCGAGTAGTAATTTTTCCTAAATCTTTGCCTGCACTATCTTTACTTTCCCTTTATTCTTACATAATGGTTAAGTTCATCATAGAATCTAGGTTTCTTATATTTTCACTCAACACTTGAAGGGATTCCTCCATTACTGCCTCACATTTATTTTGGTTGATGAATAAGTAGTCTGCTATCAACTGAATTACTCTTTCTCTTTTAAAAGATTGACTGATTGAGAGAGAGAGTTTGAGGGACCGAGCAGGAGGGGCAGAGGGAGAGGGAGAGAGAATTCTAAGCAGACTCCCCGCTGAGCACAGAGCCCAAAGCAGGGCTCGATCTCATGACCCTGAGGTCATGACCTGAGCCGAAATCAAGAGTTGGATGCTCAACTGACTGAGTCACCCAGGCGCCCCTTGAATTGCTCTTTTACATGCAATCATCTTTTCCTCTGCTCTTGTTTTTAAATTTCTTTTTTTTTTTTCTTGTTAATAATCTGTAGTCTTCCTATCGTGCATCTGGGGATAGATTTCTTTCTGTTGACCTCAGTTAGCATATTTTGTGCTTCTTCAATCTAAAGATTTAGGGTTGTTTGTTTGTTTGTTTTTTTAAATCTAGAAAATAAAAGTTCCACTATAATTTCCCCTTGTCCTCATTCTCTTCTTGGGGAACAGCTCCCAGGACACAGGGCTGCATTCTATCATCCATGCTTGTCCATTTCCAAATGCCACCTCCCCATCTCTTGTGAATCACTCTGCTCGTTCTCGGTGGCAACTTCCCATCTGTTTGCAAGCTCACCAATTCTTTATTGGTGTGCAATTTCAGTTAATCTCAAGTTGTTTTTTTTTTTTTTTTAATTCCCTATGCTGCACCTTCCATCCCCTTGACTTGTTTCATAGCTGGAATCCTGAACTTCCCACTCCGCTCCCCCCATTTTGCCCACCCCCCCATGCCCCTCCCCTCTGGCCACCATCAGTTTGTTCTCTGTATTCATAGGTCTGTTTCTGTTTTTGTTTGTTTGTTCATTTGTTTTTCAGGGTCCATGTATAAGTGAAATCATATGGTATTCGTCTTTCTCTGTCTCATTTCACTTAGCATAATACCCGCTGGGTCCATCTTTACGGTCACAAGTGACAAGATCTCATTCTTTTTTATGGCTGAGTACTATTCCATTATATATAAATACTCTTATACATAGACACACTCATGCACCCCACATCTTCTTTGTCCATTCATTTTATCAATAAATGGACACTGGGGCTACTTCTGTATCTTTGCTATAATAAATAATGCTGCAATATAAACACAGGAGTGCATATATGCTTTTGAATTAGTGTTTTTGTCTTCTTTGAGTAAATACCCAGTAATGCAATTGCTGGATCATATGGTTAAGCCTATTTTTAACTTTCTGACGAACCCCCATACTGTTTCCCACAGTGGCTGCATCAGTCTGCATTCCCACCAACAGGGCACGAGGGTTCCTTTTTCTCTGAATCCTCGCCAAGAGCTTGTCTCATGGCTTTAAATTATAATAAGTATGATTTGAATTTTAAAAAGTTCTATTTGGTTTTTCTTTAATTCAGTCTATTCTTTTTTTCCTTCCATATCATTTGGTTCTTTGGTCAAGGACGATTTTGTCTTTTAAATTGAAGTCTATAATGGACATATAACATTTGTTTTAGGTGTACAACGGAAGGATTCAACATTTGCATATACTGTGAAATGAGCATCACGGTACGTCTAGTTAACGTGTCACCACAGATAGTTACAACAGGAACTTTTTTTTTTCCTTAAAATATGGAGTGTTTCACACATTGGCCTGTCACCCATGCTCAGGGGCCATACTAATGTCTACTGTTCCAATTTTAGCATATGTGCTGCTAAAGCGCGCATTGTCCTTAATTTTTAAGCTTCATTTTAAGCATAACTCTTTCATACATATTGATATCTATTACTTCCTATTTTCTTTCATATTACCGCATTATTTTTAGTTCTCTCCGCTTCTCCTGCTGATCGCGCCTTGCTGATCCTCCCTCACGACGATTCTATTTTTAGTTTGTTTTTATTGTGAGCTCAAACTCAGCCTGGGTTGTTCTGGGAATCCTATAATTTTTGACATCTGACATGGAGAGGTTTCCCATTTATTTCGGAAGGAGCCCTGGGGATTTCATTTGTCCTTCAACCATTTATTGTGTTTATTATGCTAATTTCTCCCCCCGGGGGAGTTGCCTCCCGGCACAGCCAATATGACTTTGGAGCCTGGGGTTTTGATTTTTCTCACCAGCAAACCTTTTCTTCTTCCCACCCCAGTCCCAACTAGTCTTCAAGGGTCCTCAGTGCATCCCTGAGAATTTCTGGCCCACTTCTCAGGGATGGGAGCTTACCTAGACTCGCTGCAATCCCACACATGGTGTCACCTACCCGAGAAGTGTGTCATCTCCCAGGATAGCTGACCCCTCCATCAAACACTGAGCCAGTGTTGTCAAAGGCAACTTTTTCTGAAAAGGAAAAAAAACAAAAAACAAAAAAACCTGTTGTAATGAAAATTACTTCAACAGCCACTGCCTACTCTGAAACAGCAAAAAGTCAAATACTGCCTAGGTACTGTATTAGCTAAGACAAAAATGGACTTTAAAGTATGTCTAAACATTCATGGCATACAGGACAGATTAGATTCAGAGGTCAAAATTTAGAAAATAAAAACCGAATTAAATGTGCCAATCTGGAAAATTAGCCCAAGGTTTACAGGCTGCATTTTTTTTATTATGTTAATCACCATACATTACATCATTAGTTTTTGATGTCGTGTTCCATGATTCATTGTGCATAACACCCAGGGCTCCACGCAGAACATGCCCTCTTTAATAAATAAAATCTTTTTTTTTAAAGATTTTATTTATTTATTTGAGAGAGAGAGAATGAGAGATAGCACGAGAGAGAAGAGGGTCAGAGGGAGAAGCAGACTCCCTGCCGAGCAGGGAGCCCGATGCGGGACTCGATCCCGGGACTCCAGGATCATGACCTGAGCCGAAGGCAGTCGCTTAACCAACTGAGCCACCCAGGCGCCCTTTAATAAATAAAATCTTAAAAAAAAAATCAATAAATGAGGCAGCTCATGGTCCAGAAAGAGAGAGAAGTGTTCACATACAATAACAATGCAAAGAAAATAAGCATAAAAATAAAGGCACGCTCTAAGGAAGATAGAAAATGGCTGACGAGCACTAGAAAAGGCACTAAACATCATGAGTCACGAAGAAAGTCCGAAGAAAATCCAAATCAAAGCCACCGTGAGTTACCACCTCACACCCACGAGAATGGCAAGAGGAGTAATAATGATAATCAGAAAATAAGTATTGGTGAGCCTGAGGAGTGTTGGTGAGCCTGTGTGGAACCTTCGTGCCGTACAGGTGTAAACATAAAACGGGGCAGCACTGTGCTGAAGTTTGGCAGTATTTCAGTAAATTAAACAAAATTACCAAATGGCCTGGCAAGGCTACTCAATGCCATGCAAAAGAACTGAAGACAGACTGTCCCAACAAAAACCCATGCATGCACGTGAACAGCAGCACCATTCACAGCAGCCCAAAGGTGCAAAGAGCGCCAGTGTCCGTCAACTGACGAATGGATGGATTACGAGTGGTATATGCGTATGGTGGAATATTATTCGGCCGTAAAAAGTAACGAATGGCTGACACATACTAGGACATGAATGAACCTTGAAAACATCATGCTCAATAAGCCAGACACACAAGGCATTGATCAGATGATTCGATTTACAGGAAATATCCAAAAGAGGCAAATCCACACTACTGTAGCATGGCCCATTCCCTCCTTGCTAAGCACCAAGCCCTCTCCTCACTGAGCTGAAACCACAATGCTACATGGATAAGCTCTTCAACTGGAAAGCAACTGGACTGCACGCAGTCCAGAGCCTCCTCTGTTATTACACAGAGATCTTCAGCTACTCTCGTGAAACTTATATTCTACATGCAGGGAAATAAAAAATAAACATGCAAACTGTAACGGGGATTATTTCAAATAGTTGGAAGTGGTATGGACAACAGAAATCAGGACAATGGGGAGTGGGCTGTGGCGGGGCATGGAGCCCCGACACGGGAAGACCTCTCAGAGGGGGTGGCATTTAAGATGCAACTCAAGTGGAAGAGAGTCAGCCATGCCTCAAAAAGATTTGAGAAAGAACAGTCCAGGTAGAGGGAACTGCAAGTGCAAAGGCCCTGAGGTAGAACTAACATGGCTGGCTTGAGGTCCCTGCTTTGAACACCCCCAGGAGATCCACATGCTCTAAGGTATCTCCAGGGAAGACACGGGCAGGTAGGTCAGCCCCCCAGAGTGACGTGGAAATTCATGTCGTTCCTGAGGTAAATCCTGGTAGAGAGCCCAAGACACCTGTGCGGATAAGGTCCTTCAGTGGGTCTAAAATATATACCCCTCCCTGTGCTTAGACATGTCCCCTCCAGTGAAGTCAGATGTCTTTCACCCAAGGGATAAACTCATTACTCATCACTTCAAATAAAATGGGACATTCTTCTTGGTAAAAACTAGACCACGCAACTCAGTATTAATGTAGCCAAATTTAAACGTCACTTTCTAGTTGTCCTACAAAGGTATTATGTACACATTTCTGGAGACTTAATTAAAGGCGCAGTAAACAGTGTTATGAGAGTGGGTACTCCCACATCACCTTTTAAAGAAAGTTATTTAAAGCACATTTTTTAAAAAGTGTCTAAAGTGGTTAAAAATGAAAAGAGTTAGGCAGGTATGAATATATGCTCACAGAGGCACCATGACTTAAGGTATTAGTTCTTAATCAGGAGTGATTCTGCCTTCTTGGGAACTTTGGCAATGTAT